GCGCCAATCGAAGCCGCACAACGGCTTGCACGTTACTCAAGGGCTTCTGAAATAGCCGCTGAAAAACTTGCAGAAGAAAAGAGATATGAAAAGAGATGAAATTACCTAACAGATCTTTTTCTTATTGTCTCCATGCACGTCACCCGCACTAACTTGACAATGGATTTGTCACAATTACCATCCTTTCTCTTCTCCTTGTATCTATTTCTTTCTTCTCGTGTGATTACTTCGCAATAACAAATGACACTTGCAATAATAATACCCAGACAGCATAAAATCTCTTAGGGACGTCCTAAGGACGAAAAAATGTCCTCAGGATTTCCTTAGGATATATTCTGGATGTTCTCTGGACATCTATGTTGTTAGGGTAATGATAGATGAGTGATACCGATCTCGATTTTTTCTTAGTTTCGTATTCTACTTTATACGTGTCATAATTTTGCTCTGCATCCTGAATTGTCCAGAAAAGATCTTTTGTTCTGGAACAGAGGAAAACTTTGTTTTTGTTAAATTTAATTTTCTATGTCACGAACTTTATTTCATAGCAATTTCATAGCAATTTCATGACAAATTTCCATTCGTCACAATGTACAAACGAGAGAGTTTCTCTTCCGACAAATAATGAATATTAAAGATTTACGAAATTACAATCGATATTACAATTAGTAATCGAATAATCGACTTAATTAGTAATCGAATAATCTCACTATAATTGATAATGAAATAATAAAACTTAAAGTTAAGATAAAGTTAAGATAACACCATGGGATTTCGTACAAAGAATGTACGATTAGTCAGACAAGTACGATTAGTACGATTTGTCAGACTTAAAATTGATAGATTTACGATTACCTTATATCTCAATCCAGTGATGTTTACGACGAGTGATACTCTATGTTCGTCCCGATGTCTCACGAAAACTGTTGATCGTGACGTCACGGATGATCGATGAGGAACGTTCACAAAGTGATTTTACCATAAGATACGCCTGCCCATGGAGAATATTTCGCGAGCAGGCTGCATCTTATAATAAAATCATTCCCATAATAGGCACGACTTCCTCGACCAATTGTATCGAGGCGTGACCTTTTCCACTGACTTCAAATTCTGTTCGATCTCGGAGTGGCCGCTGTGGTAAACTCCAATTTTCCCAAGAGGGGAGCCATAACCATTATTGCTTTTATGAAGAAGCAACTGCGTACTTTCCGCTCATGTAAACACAGCTGCGTCGTTCGCGCGTGTATGCGTACACACGTGGGTGGATGCAGGCATGATAAACAGACACGTGTTTATATGTCTATGTGCTTCCCCTGTAAACGACCTCTAATCCTTTAGATATAAAGCCCACGCGTTTATTTCAATTCGATCTGCTTTGTTTCAGGAATTAAAATGTCAAATGTCTTGAAAGATCTCGATGATCCAAGAGGCTTTCGCAGCTTCGTTTTACCTGACAATTGAATAGCAATATCCCATACAGCACAAATCTTCAAAAGACATTCTAAAGACGTTCTAAGAACATTTATCCCACACAGCAGAGGTGTCCAAAATATATCACAGGGATATCCTAAAGATATATTTGAGATATGTGATATCTTCAAAATATCCTTATGATATATTTGGGAGATTTTTGCTGTGTGAGATATAACCTAAGAACGTTTTAGAATATTCTCTGAAGATTTTGTGTTATCTAAGATTGGACGAAACCAATCGTAATAAAAAGGTAATATTATAACAACGAGATTATTCATCAACGATTACAATTGACAATTAAATAATTGAATTTTAACAATAACATGGACTTTTTCGCTACGCAACACGCAATTCTGAGATTTAAAATTCAACGATTTCTTTACCTCGTATTTATATCTAATCTTGTTTACGAAAATATCTTACGTCATTTCCGTTTTTTTTCCTTTTGGTATCTCGTTGTATTTCACAGAAGCGATATTGGTCACGAACAATTCGTCATGAAAATCTTTTACGATAGAGCAGTCTGCACTATAATATAAAATCATATCCACGCAAGACTCGACTTTCTCGATCAATTCTATCGAGGCGTGACCTCCACCTTGACCTTAAATTCTCGTTTATTTCTGAGGGCTTTTGCACGTAGAAAAATTTTAACCGTAATCATAAGGTCGTAAGAAAACTGAACAATCACAGTCGATTATTCCTCGGACGCAAGGAGAATAATCAACTCTGATTGATCAGTTTTCTTACGACCTTACGGTTACGGTTAAAATTTTTCTACGTGCAAAGGCCCTAACCGACCGAATAAACTAAAATTTTCAAACACATGTAAACACAAGAGAAGAGGAAAAGGAACAAAAAGATAAGAGTTCCGGCTTAACCGTCGTATAGACGTTCATACCTGTGATTTTTTTGGAACGTATCTTGCAATTTTCCAAAAAACATTTCCCTCATATTATCTAGCAAATTGTGTAAGGACCGCAAGAATAAGCCTAGAATCAAAAAGAAAAAGAACAAAAAAATGAAGAAGCAATTTACCTTGCAAACATCCCGATTCTTCGTAAACTTTAGAATTCAATTTGTCTTCGATAGAAATGATATTCGAGGGAGAATATCGTTATTTGTTGTACAATATCTCATGTGAACTACCCTTAAAATTCCCGATTTTTATTAGACGTGAATTTAAATGACCGTGTTATGTAATTGTCACGTGTAAGTTTATGACACATGTTTACGATCTCACGTTCCTCGAAATGTCGCAACTGATAACGCGACGACAATCGCTTCTTCACACACGTGTATTTACAACAGCACACAAAGAACAAGGAAATAACGGAAGTTTCGAAGCGTGTTTTGCATACACAATTGACGTCTCAAATTTCAACCGTCGTCGATCGAGGAAACAAGGTTAGCCTGTTCAAACGTGTGCATTTTCCCATCTGAAGTAAGCGCGATCATAATGACGCTATCGAACGCAATCGACAGATCGACAAATTGCTTCTCGCACAAAGGAGCCGACTTCAAGCGGGAAGGGACGGAGGAAGTGGTGTCGAGTTGTACTTTCCACGTTCGATTCGAAACGGAAACAAAGTCGAACGAGAGAAAGCAAGGGCGACAAAACGAAAAGTCCCCGTGCAACGCGGTTTATCAGCGCGATAGAATCGCGTCCTTGCGCAATTATGCTTCATTAGAGAACTTTGGATGACGGTGCCGTGCGATCACGTAGAGAGACCGCACCGCGCGAACGGTAAACGGAGCGCGGCGACGGAAAGGGAGGTGGCAGGAAGAGAGGTTAGGAGGGAGGTTAGAGTGGACCGTGGAACCTATATAACCTTCCGCTTGGGTCCCATCTATCAGTTCTACCTCAACTTCGGACACGTGACTAACGGAAAGCTCGCGCGGAGGAATAGTTTTTGTTTGTTTGGGATTCGTTGTATGGGTAAGTGACGTGAGAGAGAGAAACGCGGAACGATCGCGATGATTGACGAGAACGAGGTGGGCGGGTATTTAGGCTCGGGGCTTTGGACACGATCGGCGATTGTGAGGTCGCGAGCGCGTCTGCGTGTCACTTCAGGAAATCCCTCACCTTCCTCGCCGTCGTCGCTTCTCCTCTCGCCGTCGGCTCTCTTCCACGGAATTGCCGCACACGCGTTTTTTCCACGAAGTCATTGATCTCACCGCCATGACTCATCGACGAATGCCACCACCCACATACAGCACGGAGGCGATAACGCCTGAGTGACAGCGCGCGCAGCTTATCGATCGTTCTTGTCTCTATGGCGAATGTAAACGCGAAATTGCGCACTTCATTGGCGATCCTTCTCCCGCGCGATGCGCGATGTCCCGTGTAGTACGTCTCCTCGAAGAAATTTCGCGTGACGATGCTATCATGTTTCCTGTCATTAGCCTCTATGACGTAACGCTCGCTCCGAGAGAGACAGCGCGTGATCGTCCCTCTCGAGGGAATGCCCTTCTCGTGAATTTAGAAATGTCCATAGCACTCGCGACGAGTTCCATGCGAAGGAACGAGGTTATATATTGGTTGGTTCCTCTTTCTTCCTCGCGGGAAAGTCTCGACGCGATTTAGCGCAAAAAGCTACGTCGCAAAAAAATAGTAGTTAGGGAGGGAGAGACGTAACGACGAAGGTCGCGCGGTGGACACATGGCAAGAGCGCTACATACACCTATTTAGTCGTGTATTGATTCACCACGCACCTTGCGGTGTTACCCTGGGCATCGTGTGTACTACACGTCGCCATGTTGGACACCGAGCCGACGACAAGTCCGATCCGCCTCTCCGCATTCATTTCGCAGATTTTGTCTTACGGCACCGTGCTGATCCGTGTACTCAAATAGCAGTGGACTCACGGTAATCACGGCCATTCGCGTGGATATTATCGCGTACCGCGAGCTAACGTTTACGAGAGAATCTAAGCGTCGTTGCGCAAGCGATATATTACAATTTATGTATTGCGGGTTATTAGACTGTTGCGTTTTCCTCATTAAATTATCAGTAGATTATTATCGTCTTTCCAGTATCTTTATCGCTTGATCATACGATAAAAGAGAAATTTTAAAAGAATCCTCGATTTTTAGAGTTAAAGTACATTGTAGGTTTATTTCAGTCTTGCTTCCTGTTGTTTTCCTTGCTTATTATTTATATGCAATATCTAAGTACATAAATTCTTGTATTTTAAATGAATAAATATTATGGAGGTAGAAATGGAACAATTATATACTATAGATTGTAACAGCGTTACAATTTATTCAAGAGTATAAATAATTGATAAAATATTTAATTTTGACTTTGCTTTGTTGCAGTAGAAAGCAACGTTCCTTTGTTAATGTTTACATTTAAAGTAAGAGAAGAATAGAAAACATGGAGAGCCCTGTAGTGTTGACAAGTAGCTGCAGGGATGAACGTGGCTTTGTGTCAAATCTTGTTTCCTATACTGTTGTCTTTGCTTATTTATTTTATATAAAATATTCAAATGTGCAAACTCTTGTTGCATTTTAAATGCACAAGCATTATGGAGGTAAGACTGAAATGGCCTGAGCCATAGACTAACACATTGTAATTTCATCTATGAGTACAGACAATCGAGGAAATAACTAATCTTCACTCTGTTGATTCTTCACAATAGCAGAAAAATAATATTTGTTTGTAATTTTTGCATTTAGAGCAAGAGAAGAGTAGAAAACACGGAGAGAGCCCTGTAGAGCCGATAAGCAGCTGCAGGGACGAACATGGCTTTGTGCCAACAGTTGGTCGCTGGGGCAGCGAATGGCCAAGTTGACTCGAGACGGCAAAGACATGGTGCCAGCCACAGGGGCAGGCACGCGGGCCCTGGATCAGGGGTTCTCCGCTACCCCTGCCGGTTTGGGCCCATTACGCGTCACCAGTCCTGACCGTTCACACGGTCGAACAATATGAGGAACTAGCGGGCAGCGTTGAACTTGAAACGCAACGTTTATTGCGCGAGCATCGCTATAACACTGTTGGCAATTTCCTCAGGTATGCAACAACTTCTATTGTATCGCTGTTAACTCTGATGTACAGTGGGTTGCAAAACTGTTTGGACACAATGAAATCGCAAGGTCACCAAACTGTTAGAATTGAAAATCATTACTGACAGACTTACTCACATACGCAGTAATCATATTATTATTATTAGTATTATTACTTAATATTCTTAATTATATTATTATGACATATGAGTATCCATCAGTAATAATTCTTAATTTCGACAATTTTTGGTGAACTCCCAACTACGTTGCATCTAAATCATTTTGCCTACTCTGTAATATAAATATTTCCGTATATATAACACGATATCAATCAATAGGTTCTACAAGGACTACTCCAGAAGCGGAGAAAGTGTGCTTGAACGTTTCTACCGTAAATATCAGCCGCTAATAACAGATGAGCATTACACTTGCGTCGGCCTTGGATTCGAGTTGTTATGCCGGTTAGCTGATCTGAACGAGCGATATCCAGGATTGGCGAGTAGTCTCTACTTGACATCATGCGAGGAAGTGAGTTTGTCGCACTGTTTGGAGTCGTTTCTTAGTCTTGGCAGAATCGCATTAATACATATAACTGACGTGAAAAATAAATACTTTGTTTTCTATCATAGACGATTGGCGATATCGCCAGCTACGTTGGAGGCCCACCAGCGGCCGACAGCGGTGAGAAGGAGCATGTATTAGTGTGCCTGAAAATCAAGATTGGCGAACGTTGCGGCTTCATGCTGCTCGATCCAGGTTACCATATAGCTCGCGTTGTCACTGTGATGGCCGATAAATTGTACCCTCACACCGGCTGGTTCACGCAAGTCGACGAGCCGAACTGCAAAAAAATGTACAATTACTATTTATGTGCCGACGATCCCGACTATATCGAGTGGCATGAGAGGGTGACTCGACCTGGTGCCTTGGAGACGACGCAAGTCGCTCTCATTTATGTGGCGAGGCCATATTTAACTGCCATTGATGTTACCGAACGTAGGAACTTGGTTTATAACCACAAGAGCCTCATAGCCAGAGATACCAAGGGCCACATAATCGCTGGTATATATTTTCCTGTCGTATTGGACCGCGACAATGCGCAGACCTTCACGATTTTCCATCAAACCGCTAACAGGAAGAAACGAGTTAAAATGGCATTCAACAAATTTTACAGCACATCGGAGGTGAGAGGAAAAAGAAAATATTCTCGGTAGTTTTAATGATCCACGATGTGTCGAGACAAAATAATTGATCGTTTCGACAGTTTATATTAAATGAAATAGAAGAGTAACGTACATTTCTCTTGCATTTTAGATACGTCCTAACGCCGAGGAAATGGAGATTGTCGCGGAATGTGCCCGACAGCTCGACATTCCGCTGGATACCCTGGAGAGTATGATCTCTGCTCTCGCCACCGTCATGAGAGACACGTCATTCGTGGCGCAGCTGTTGGCCATCAACAAGCGTATCAACACCTTAGCAGAGGCAAATTAACAGAAGTCAATCCACCCAGCATGGTGTCGATATAACATTACGTTTCATGATTTCTTTTGCCGGCTTTCCTCTTACGTTCTTTTTCTTTTATTAACCATTGTAGGTATGCTTTGTTACGTTTTACAAGTTCAATCATCAAGTATTTTCGAGATGCTAATAAAGTATTTTCAAAGGTTTCGCTGCTACTTAGTATCGCATTTTACGTATGCAATTCAATGAAAACATTAACAGATCGATTATACGATCGAAATGACATGTTACAATGTGTATGTACTTTAAGGTATGCACGTGAACTTCAACACATTTGATTTCCATTTAGGAGTTTTCGACAGAAGAACATTTTTTTTTATCTAGTCTCCATCGTATCATTCAACGTACTTAGGATGATCTTGAATATTCGCTTTTTATCTAGTATGCACGCGGCAACCAATTGCAAACTATTTTAAATGGCCTACACTTAAAAATTTACATAATCGCTTTTTAAATTTTAGTCTTGCAATTTATGCAATTTGCGTTTATTTTTTATGGTAATGTACTAGATCGGTATGATAATATTTTCATTGAATAATCTCGAAACTACAAGAAATTATATAGATCACTATTTGTGTAGGAAGGACTTCAACTAAAATCGTATTGGTACAAGGGATAATTTTGTTCCATCATTTCTTATTTAGAATAAAAATATATCTATATCTATATATATATATATATACATATGTATGTGTGCTTCAGTTTGTTAAAACAAAATTAACGACCTCATTTCAATAAAATAATTATTTGACGGGTAAAGTTCGTATCGTTTAATACCCCACCTCAATGATCGTGTGTTATATGTACTTACTTTCAAATGATGGAACAGCTTGTCTGTCGGTGAATGTCTGTCAGTTTCAAAATTATCCTGTAAAAAAACTCAATTCGGAATACTTTTGAAACCATTAATTGTTTATTGCCTTTATATACATTAAACTTCTCAGTATTGTTATACGATATTGGAAACTAACATAAATCGACGTAAGTGGATATAATACAATTCTGTGATTATATAAGTTCTTAAAGTTTCTCTCAGAGTACATGTTTTATATCAATTTTATGCATACAATTTGCTACTTGACACTGCAGAAATTGTTCAACGAAATGTCCACTTATAGATGTTCAGTAACGTTACATCGTTTCATAGAGAATTATACCTCTTTGTTATAACTGTTGTATCTCGTATAACATTATAGAAAATAAGATGTATTTGAACGAAAACAAAATAAATTAATGCAGTTCGCTTTGATTAATGGTAAAAATTTGCGTCGCTATTTTAGAAATTTACTTTTATATTTTTAAATATCTTGTGGGATATATAATATATATATATGTATAACTGAAATTAAAATCTACAGATAAATATATTTAAATAAGTATTTATATATAAAATATAACAATATTTACCGCGTTACTTGAAGAATTTTACCGTATCAGTTTTAATTGTGTATATATATATATATATATTTATATATATATTAAATGATCACACGTGTATGTGTGTATGTATGTGTGAGTCAGTGCATGTAACGATATTTTCTTACCAATGTGAAAATAATTCAGAAAAAGATAACAATTTTTTTTTGTAGAGAACATATTAATGATTATGTAAATATATAATCGTATGTATAAGATGAAGAGAATTTAAAGTACACTTAGTTAGATAAGATCTATAATAGAGGCGAAATTAGATATATTGCAGTTAGTAATTCGAGATATTCTAATCACCACTACTGGACACTGCGCGACTTATCTACTTGGTTTTTTTACTAGGGATATAGACTACTGACGGTTCCTCTGATGCTTCGCGCTTTCGGGATTCAGACATGGAAGGTACTTCCGTACTTGAACTTTTAGCCTTTCCTTTCCCTTTTCTTTTCGGAGATTCTGCAGCTTTTGTAGTTTCCCTGTAAACACGTAACAAATTAATTTTAAATACAATGATATTTTTACTTAACATACACATTATATCTAAGTGGGAAGCTAAGCTATTATAAAATCATTGATGATATTACCATAGATCTGTAGAACTTTTAGAAGGAAAAAGAAAAGAGAAGAGACACACACCGATGCATATAAAATAAGCAAACCATGCACTTGCCTTATAATATGTAAAATTGTTATTTTCGCTTTTGCAATTACGTTGTTGGTTGGTCAATAAAAAATAAAAAGAAAATAAAAAAGAATCTACAAGCTGACATGGTAGAAGCAGTATCGCACAACGATTGATCAAAATTGAGCAAAGAGTAGTAATAACGCATTGTATCTATAAATATGAATTGTGACTTGGTTTCTTAAAGAGAAAACCTGATACAATGATAAATGCAAACTAGCTGATGTGCTTAATATACGTATGTATTAATATCGACCAATGTCAACCGATATCACCGTCAAATTGAAATGAGAAGGATTAATGCTATTCTGCAATCTCAATCTTGAAAGTGAAGAGAGAAAGAATCTTAACATATATTTGTGACGTTAATTTCAAAACTAGCCGCATTAATCGCTCCCATTCCAACGTGCCGATGTGTGCCTACCACTTAGAAGACATCCTTAAAGAGTACCATTAGCTATAGGACGTTAACTAGAAGCGTTCGCAATCACAGATAAGTTCAGAAAGTAAAATTGCAACGAACAGAACAAAATAACGAATAGCGGAGTGACGCAACGTACTTACGTCGCGCAAGTGTCACTGCTGTGTACTATGCTTTTTAGCTTATTAATATTTGCGCCTGTACCTGCAATACACAAGATGGTATATTCTATACCAATCTCTCAGCATGTTCGCGGTGTTGCGTGAGGTAACGTAATCAGAGTTAATGCATAACGCACATAGTTCGGGAAACGATAATAAAATAATTGCAAAATAATAATCATGTTATTCCGGTGTTAATTAATTAGAGTCTTGCGCTTGATTACATCGATATATAAGCGTGTATCGTTGAAAATTATATTCTTAAGAATTATGCTAGAAAATAAAACTAGTTAGAGATATTCTTAACACTAATAATAACATTGGCATATTGATACAGAAGAGAAATGATAGTTTTGGGCAGAATATCAACAAGACATACAAATTATATTTATATAACATGATTGCATAAGATGATGTCCCTTATTGTTAGAAGCAGAGTGCACTATTGTTCACATGCATAACGTAACATAATGTAAGCATCGCGCTGCATTTCTCTTTTTCTTGAATAACAATTGATGAATAACAATACATGCATCTATAGAGAAATATGATTCCATGATTAAAATAAATTACATAGAAAAGCCCTGTGTTCTCTATATTCAATACGTGAATTTACGCGACATGCGTCCAGTTTCATTTGCTCCAGAACGTCACATTGCTTCTTACAGAATCCAAGATTTAGTCTTCGATAGTAGCGAAAAATAGCGATGGCAAAAATTGACAGAAACCAAACTTACCATGGAGAAAATTTGGCGGTTACGGTCTTCCCAGCCTTTATAGGATTTAGTTTAGCACGTAATGCTTTATGTCGACTACAAAAGCACATGACAATCAGACCAATAATATAGATAAAAATATTTTTTTAAAGACCTTTTAATAAAAGAACAAGTAAGATACATGTAATAAAAACATAAGATTAAAAAGAAATTTATAATCGTACACTGAAATACTTGCAGTCATTGAGAGATCTCAAGTGCTTATTAGTGCATTACATAAATACTACTTAATTACCCGAGCTCGAATTGTGCAATATAGATAAACCAAAGTTTAGTTAACCAATTCTGTTCTTCTTTACAGTATCCTACTTTTTGCTAATTCCTTTTATCCATTTTCCATGCAATTCAAAAATGTTCTAAATAATGAAATGATAGAAAAGTATATAAAGAGAGAAAAACAACTACAGAGGCAAATATTGCAATACGCATGCTGTCGTAACGTGATGTATTCAAAAGCGTGCATACATTTGAAAGCCACATGCAGAAAGTGTGAATGGAAATACATTAAATAGGAGGCACGACGAAATCGTGTATTTCCAATTATCATTTTCTGATATGTCTGTGGCTGTGCTTGTCTACTACAAACATGTAAGATGCTCGCGATTATGTGTTCTATCGTGAAATTTAATAGTTTAACAGAACATTAAGTTGTAAAATAAAATTTAATGTATACAAGGCAAGTTTGTAATCTGTTGGCGCCATGAAAAATGGATTTATACTAAATATCCCTACCTTTAACAAATTGCCACTTGACAAAGTATATATTCGAGCATATTTAAGCTGCTAAGTCAAGTCAACAAACCTTGTTGATGGTTCTGAGGTAGACGGTAGAGCCAATGGCCTTCGGTCTACTTGGGTCATATTGACATTTGGGTTTGAAGTACCAATTGCAGCAGTACTTCGTGTACGTGTCTGCCATTCGCGATTGAAACTCTCGGCTTCATCTACAAAACATAAACAAACCATATGACTGTGAAGACAAGTCATATTAATAATTCAATTGTTTTCATTCTTAAACCTATAAAGAAGTTACCTTCATCAAGATTGATAAACTCCTGTCGTTCTTCTGATTCTCCGCTTCTTACATTGTGCTCTCTTTCAAGAATATGCGCTCTATCACCAATGTGATGACCAATAGCCATTTTTTTAGTTCCAGTACGAGAATCCCTCACTGTCTTTTTGGTCTCTTTTATACCACCTGGTGCTGTTGTTGTGGACATAGTCTCCTCATAAATTTCTGGACGTCCATCTGGACCACTCGACATAGATACTACAGATTGGCGCATGAATGAATGAGAATTGTTGGTCATTGTTGGCACGGCAAAATCCTGCAAATTATACATAATTTTGTATGATAAAATTACGAAGACTTTTAATTATTATTGATGATACTTCCAATCATTATTGATTCACAAAATTAACTGATCAAACATTTTACTCACGAAATTCATATCTCTAAAGAAGAATGGTTGCATTGCACCTATCCGTGGCTGCATCATTGGATGATGCAAAGGTTCTAGCAAGCCACGTGCAAAGGAGAAGCCAAACTGGGGCATCATCTGATCAATCTCATCGAATACGCTGTTAGGCCAACTGTGGTTGGTCGTATGCAACATAAAATTATACAATTCACATCATTCTGTTTTTGCATCAAGATAAATTTGACGTTTTTTGAGGTTAAGAAATCCGTCATACTGTCCATATGTTTACATATATATAGTTTGTGCAATTTTAACAATTAATTTCTCTCTTTATTGTGTATGTTGAGTGATCGACCGAATAATAATCTTCTACATAAAAAAAATGTCGGGTAAGATACACATTCAATGAAATCCGCGTCGTCGTCGATATTCTAAGCGTCTACAAATATTGATTTCTTATTGAAAGTGCGTCATATTGCGCAATTTTGAAAAAAATTAGGTATATTTCGCAAAATTTTCAAAATAAGTCAGCAACAGAGACGAGTGAATCGTTCCAAATTTTGACACGACAGAAAACAAAATCACCCCGACGTTGATAGTGGCGTGTCGCGTAGAATTTCGAGATATCAATCACGCCAAATATACGCGTGCTCGATAGAAAATGCAATGAAACTCACCCAGTCCACACATTCATTTTTCTTGTCAAATCTGCGTACTACTAAAATGGAAAAGTAGCTCGAGCTAGCGCTCAAGATTCGAAAAATTTCTTCGGACGATCAATAGCGTACGGATGATACTCGATATACCTCTTTAACGCTTTGCTACCATTTACTGTGTGTCGCGAAAATGGCCGACAGACGGCAGCGACTCTCTCCAATCCCCGTGGAAATTTCTAGAACTGACTTGCGCAATAAAGTACTCATAAAGGTGAGAGTCCAATGTGAGATAGGTAACATAGGATGCTTTCCAATTGCTTAAAGCCCGTATCAGATTATAGATTAGAATTGTGATTGAATTGAAATTCAGCCAATCAGAGCAAAATTCACTAAATTCAAATTTGGTGAACTTTACTCTGATTGGCTAATTTTCAATTCAATATTAGAGTGCAAACCCATGCAACGCAATAGCGAAGCACGGAACAAGAGCAGAACCAATCACGCGCGTTCCATAGTTTCGCTCGTGTTGCTTTCGCTCATGATTGGTTCCGTTCTCGTTCGCGCTCCGCTATTCCGCTGCATGGGTTTGCACCAATCTTAATCCGTAGTCTGATACGAGCTTAATCTTGACATACACGTATGCAAAACCAGTTTATTGGCTACATATTATCTAAAATATCTTGTAAGATAATATGCAACCAACATATATTCTGAGTATAAATCGGAATCTATTCTAGACAAAATCATAAAACTCGTCACTTGTTTTCGTAAGACTCATAAGAACTTATGAATAGATCTGCAATCTTCTATGCGGACAATATGTTATATGATAACTCGTAAATATCTACGATTTTTTTTGTTTTTTACGTAAGCTAAAAAACTTTACAATTTTACAATTTAGGACCGGTTTCACCAACTCCGGTTAAACTAACCGAGGGTTAAAAGTAGCAGAGTAGCCAACTTTTAAATGCGACGTGCCATAAACATGTTATATTGAACCTCAATGAACAATTTAGGGAGCGTCCCGATTAACCACGGTATGATTGGACACAACCAACCGATGAAAAGAATTATCTAGTGAATTACTAGGTCGAACCAATCATTACAATCTGTGTCCAATCGTATCGTGGTCAATCGAGTCCCACCCACAATTTATATTCAATCTCGATATTGGCACTTCTGGTTAGAATTTAAATTGGTGGTGTATAGAAAAACTTAAGCAATAAAACATAAGCAATAAGCAAATTGACCAATCACATTAGGTTTGTTCTTTCGACCTGACCTAGGGCTGCACTGGAACTGTACTAGTTGAAGAAAGTTCAAGATAGTGCAGACCAGTGCAAAGATACATATGGGTCTGAAAAGAACGGGTAAGAGCAAGTTAGAGCAGTGTAAGATGGCGGACAACATGGCTGGATTAAATAACAGATCAATTTATGGTCATGTTTTCGCACTTATAGCATTTTATGTTTTGTTGAACAATCCTATTTCTTTTAAAAACTGTTTTGTGTTGGATACCCATACAACAAATCCCTCCGAAAAAACGTCCAAGAGCCTTCCCAGGATGTCTTTCGGATATTTTGTGCTGTTTGGATAACATTCTAAATATTTCTTTTATGTCATTCTACATTATATATTTATTATATATTTATCTACATTATATATTTATTATATATTTAAGTATTTACTTACTGTTTATAGATTCCGTCGTCAGATTATTTCTTCTACGTAATGTCAACTAAGTATACCGATTTTACAGGTTATAGATACAAATTTAAATTTTTTCGGTTAGCTGCCCTGCACTGCTTGCTCTACCTCCAGACCTAGGGCAGTCAGTTCACTGAACTCGCTGCACTAGTTCAGCCTGCACTGTTCGAAAGAACACATTTTCTTGCACTGTTCTGATCGAAAGAACGCATTAGTGCAAACTTAGTGAACTAGTGCAGCCAGTTCAGGTCGAAAGAACAAACCTAATCATTGATTCTTCTTACGATCCAAGAATCAACGACTGTGATTGGTCAATTTGCTTACGCTTACGTCTTACTGCTTAAGTTTTTCTGTGTGCTATGGCCCTTAAGGACGGACATTAGATAACCTTTTCAGAAACTTAACTAACCTAAACAGAAACTTAACTTTTTTACCGAAAATAAAGTTATCCTGACTTAATTTTATATAGTAAAATGAAATACTTTAAGATAACGTTGTTCTACTTGGGTTAACTCTTTTTAATGCTAAATGCGATTGGTCAAGTCCAATGGAATAACCGGTTAATTAAGTTAACTAAAGGTTGTGGAACTGGACCTTAGTTGTATATTTACTTAGAATTGCAGCACTAATGGCTCCTGCACACAGGACGCGGTAATGCTTGCCGCGCGGCGGAAGTTCGAGCGACAGCCAATCAATATGCTGCTTCCCGTAATAACCTTCTAGTTCTTACGGAAAAACAACATATTGTTTGGCTGTCGCACGGACTTCCGCCGCGCGGCAAGCATTACCGCGTCCTGTGTGCAGGAGTCATAAAACTTTAAATAAACCAACTCTTTGGCCGGTTCTAAATATGTCGCTGTCATATGTCGGAGTGCGCCGATGGGCCAATCAGAGGATTTGTTTTTCGAGGCGAGTTCTCCTGATTGGACCGTTGATTGCGTTGCGATATCCGACTTCAACATATGACATATTGTAGAACGGGCCTAAAAAATTGACTAATCAGTCGAATTATAGAAGAATAATCGACTGCGATTGGTCAATTTTTTACGGTCCCGGCATAAGTTAATGGATTATGGCCATCATAAACCGGTCTTTAGGTTTCCAGTTGTATGTGAGAAAATGGCGGCGGTCCTGTGTGTCACTTGTGTGGATATCTTACATCTGCAATATAAGTCAGCCTGCTATTAAATTACTGTCGTAAAATCAAAATGCATCTTATTGCATCAAAAAATGTCGCAACAAAAAAATAAATGGTATTGGACGTTATTTGCTCTGCTCATTTCCAACAAAAGAATTTTATGACTAAACGTATGAAAATATGCGGCGGTAGCGGCCATTTTCTCGCATACACCGGAAACTCTATCGGACGCAAGCCATGCTATGTGCAATGATGGTGTGTTAGCAATCTAGTTTAGTATAACATGTATGGGCAAGAAAAAAGCAGAAAGAGTATAAAGTAATTGAGAGCGTCCCGATTGCCTACAATACGATTGCACACAAACCAACCGATGTTAAGAATTATCTAGTGAATTACCAGATCGAACCAATCATTACAATTTGTGGTCAATCGTACTGTGGGCAATCGGGACCCTTCCAAAATAATTCAGAAAATGCAGATATATAAATGCAATCTAAAAATTTAGCGATTAGTTTTGCTGGTAACTTACCCCGTTTATTATTCTCGATGCCTTACGCGTTATCACAAAGATGTCACTGACGGTGTTCAAGCCCTGAGTATGTCGATGTGGAGACGCCATTACGCATGGTGGCACACGCGCGCGCGTGCTATATATCTCGTAAATTTTATGCTCCGACATCCCGCACGATCTTGAATCCTACGAAGCAACGAGCGAACATGGCCGCCCGACAAAACATTCCGTGTGGCATCGTTTAACGACCTATCTGTTTATCTCTCTTTCTCCCGCTCGGCGCTACAATGTCTCACGGTGAGCGCGGAGCAACGTCATCCTGACCGAAAAGTTCCTCGCCGAGAGTGACGCAACGACCGACAGTTGACGCCAAGGGGACTGGATAACGCTCTTTTTTCGGGGGAAGGTATACGTATCGGAGCTACGAGTGCAAATCTGATTAGCCAGGGTCTGCTTATGAAAAATAATAAATAGAGGTGCCTGGTGATCGCCGCCGTTTGCCCATACCTTCTATCAGTGGTGTCGCGGATCAAGGAGACCGTTCGATCCAGTTGCAACGTGCAGGAACAGCAGCAGCTTGTACCGACATAACGAGGTGATTCGTCGCTGACTACGGACGGTCGACGTAACAACTCCGCGACGAGTTTCGTGAACGGACGGACGGACGGACCGCATAAGGTCACACAGATCGGGACGAGAGAATTAATCATTGCTGATCATGACGATCCTATCAAAGAAGAAGACAAACGCGTCGAAGGACCGTACGCGAGAGCCAGGCGCAGGCACGGAGGTCGACGTTCACCATAGCGTGGTCCAGAACGAGCACAATTCCGGCAGCATCGCGTTGCCGAACAGCCCTTATCAGGTGAGCGAGTGACAATGTGAAACGTGTTCTCTTCGGTATTTGTCTTTTTTTCTCTCTTTTTCTCTCTCTCTCTCTCTCTCTATATATATATATATAATATATATATATATATATATATATATATATATATATATATATATATATCGTCATTATTTATCGCGAACTCGCATACCGAGATGCTCTAAGACAGATTTTACCGAAAAACACGCGACTAGGTGCGCGAAGGCGGCGGATTCACCGTTGACTTGCACGGAATCCAAGCTGATCACGCATCCGGTTCCGTAGTGCTGGCCGCCAGCTCGTACGAGGTATAAACTTTGAGAGAGAGAACCTTGTTTCCTCCTTGGTCTTGTCACTAATATAGGTTCTTTGTTCTCTACTTTCTTTTTTTTCTTTCTTTCGTTTTCGTGCGTCGAGAGTGTGATATAAATCGTAATCCTTAAGAATTTTGGAGAATTGTGACTAACGAAAGACCGACATGGATTTAACGTCCAGGCGAGAATGACTACATTAATTGCTATTGAGAGCAATCAGCTGTAACGCACAATGCTGACTGCCATGCACGATCACTAATCACAAATGTTTGATCCCAGGATTTTCTGCAGAGATATGTTTTTGTGTTAACATATAATACTTTTGTTACAGGCAAGCGTAGACCGTCGTGAGGAGAAGCACTTTGAAGAAAGCGGTCCCAGTCATGGTAAACGTCACCGACAAAGGGTCAGTCCCCACAGGTAATTAAAAGAGTCACAAAACACTGAGGTTACTAGAGAGAGTCAGAATATACAAAAAGAGAGCTAGAATTCAACCAGATTAGGTATCACTTTGCTGCAAATTCAATACTTTTGTAATATTTATATTTATTTTTGTTATGATATATGAGATATTATATGATGAGGACCATTGTGTGTTTGTATATAATACGTATTCCTGCTTCATGTATGTAATAAGGAATCTACTAATCTTTTAGTAGCTATATTGGTAGATCCTCACGCGCCAAACGCGAGCGAGAGAGAGATAGAGGTAGGGAGAGGGAGAGAGAACGGGAGCGTGAGAGACAGGCTACTCCACCCGCTGCATCTTGTAGTGGTATGCAAGGTAATTCTTTTGTTGATTTGAATTGAGAAACTTATAACAATGGAACTTGAGAAGATAACAATTGCATTTCTTCAGGAACAGACACCAGTGTCAATGGGAGAGTGAGCATCGTTGGAAATGCATCTAATTTGGAACACGAATTGACAAATGGTTACAACAGTGGAGATGAATACACAGGACGCACTGGAAATAATCTTACATTAGCTGAATGGCAGGAAGTTAGTATTAAGTTTAAATATGCTAAGTCGAATATGCTGTTCATATATTACACTAAGTACTCGTGATTGTTCAGAGAGATCGATGGTTTGAAAAGCATATGCGGAAAAAGGGCTTTATCGTGAAAAAGATGGACGAGGATGGAGCTTGTCTATTCAGAGCGGTGGCGGATCAGGTTTATGGCGATCAAGAGATGCACGGCGTTGTACGGAAGCATTGTATGGATTATATTGTGAGTTACGATACGACTTATTATATGTTTACGATAACTGCAGGTAATTTTAACTTCGTTATTCTGTTGTGACTTAATGTGACTGAACGACATCTCTTTCAGGCTTCCAACAAGGAGTTCTTCCGGAATTTCGTGGCAGCGGAAGACTTTAGTAACTATGTGAATAGGAAAAGGCTGGAGTACGTTCATGGGAATCATATAGAAATGCATGCAATGTCGGAAATGTACAATCGTAGCATCCAATTGTACTGTTATAGTACTGGTATGTGTCGTTATTCTCACTTATTAGCGTCCAAGTTCCCATACGGGAAAAAAGATTGGTTGGATTAACCAAATTCTGAAATATGTATTAACTTTGACTAGCCAGAAAACTTGAAAACTTGAAAGGAATTCTGGCTCGTTTATATTTCACCAAATATTTGGTTGATCCAATGAAATTAATTTTCCTCTTGCAGCAGTACTTGATTGTATTATCGAGCAAACTTCTTGCAGAGCCTATCGATATCTTCCATACCACGGTAAAAAGCGATAATGAACCAATCAGGCTGTCGTATCAACGTGATAGTCACTACAACAGCATAGTCGATCCGTATAAGGCTACCGTAGGCGTCGGTCTTGGTTTACCAGCATACAATCCTGGTGCCGCTGATCGAGCTCTGATATCAGATGCGGTTCGTCAAAGCGAGGAATTACACATCGAACAGGTGATTATTAATTCCAATGAATTAATTTGACGCTCTGTATGACTTTGATTTCGCAACAGACAATGCTGGAGGATAAGATAAAAGCCACCGACTGGGAAGCAACTAACGAGGCTATCGAGGAACAAGTGGCAAGAGAAAGTTACTTGCAATGGCTACGCGACAACGAGATGCGTAAAGCAGTAAGTAAAGACGATCGTCACGATCATCGTAGTTTTATATATCTTTATTGAAGAAAAACCAAAACTTAGTCTTGTGACTTTTGAATCAAGCGTTCAGCCAGTAGTAGCAGTACGAGCACAGTTACGAGCGCGCAACATAATCATTCGCACTTTCATTCGCATGGAGGTCGTGGACAGCAACGTAGCCATACGTCGTCACCGACGACAACTCAAACTAGCCAAGATAATTTACGCAATTCTCCAAAGGTCCGTCTTGCACTGATATAATGATATAATGACATGAATTCTGCGCGGAGTTTCATGGTGTCGTGTATGTAAAGGAAGTTTTCTGCTATAATTGTTAGGTCAGCGACACAGTACGATATAGCAAAAGATCGCCGCAACACCAGACGGCGACTCAAGGATCCCACTTGCCGTCAGAGTTTGAAATAAAAGTGACACCGCAGGAACCTGTACCGGGAAGTAGCAAGGAGGCGCATGCATCACCCGATATCCCATTGTTCAATCGACTTCCTCCTGAAGTGTTCGGTGAGAATACGAAACGAAGTTCTTGATTTGGAATAACAAACTTGAGAGGAATTTGTTCTAAAAGTCAGTTTATGTGAAATTACTTTTAAACATACTGAGTTATCCTTGTGTGCACGAATTCATTTTACATGATGCTCTATCGCAGAAACATTTAATGAGAGGATAACTATCAGAGTTCCATAGAGATTTCTAATAGCTATAGCTTTCACAGTGATCTCTCTAATGACTTTCTAATTTGCCAGGTCTGACCGATTGGGAAGATAGCGATATACTTTCTCAAGTGCTGGCGACGTCGCAACAAGAGTATTTGGACAACTTGAAGCAATCACGCGTGTCTGCGTCCGTCGGAAGCGATAGCCCTAATACGATAGAGTCTAATAACAGTTCTAGTAATAATTCTTGAAATGCGGTCGGCAACGACAAAGTTCAAAAGATATCAGAGTAAAGATATATACATTTATATATTGCAATATCATCTATCCCCGCGTTGTGCCAGGGCATAAGGTGGTTTGCTTTCTCATCCGCGAGTAAATATTGCAATAATTATTTCATTTTTTTCTCCGTCTATATTTCTATCTATTTCACACAACATTTTTCCTCTCTACTTTCTGTTCTTCCTTTTAGTCCTTTTAATCCAGAGCTGAATAAATAATCTCTTCTGCCTTTCTTCTCTTTTCTCTATCTATCTATGTATCTATCTATCTCTATTTATCTCTATTTTTCTTTCTTTCCCAACAACACATCGATTTATAACGTACATATTGGATTTTCAAAACATACGTACGTCATATAGTCGTTAAGTGCTTTGTTAACACTAATGAAGTAGCTGTGTATCTTTCGTTGTGAGTACCATTGTGTCGTCATCATTTAGAGAATGGTCAAACTAATTTACATCATTCTAAAATTTAATTGTAAAAAATTTCTTAATATTTTCGTAGTTACGCGATATTCACTGTCACACAATTCATATTAACTCGCCTATTTTGGGGTTCAACATTATTACTATAGGGCATGCAATGCGATTAGACAAGAAAAGAATATATATATATATATATATATATATATATATACTATATATATACATATATATATACACACACACATATATATATATATATATACATACATACATATATATACATACATATATATATATATATATACATACATATATATATATACATACATATATATATACATACATACATACATACATACATACATACATACATATACATACATGCATATACATATATATATATATGTATGTATGATGCATATATATATGTTTGATAATCGTGATGTTTTTTCTCGATATAGTATAGGTGAAAATGCTTTAGATAAATCTGCGTTGCATTATTTGTATAAAAAGAAGTAAATAAAAAAAGTAACTGTAACTTTAATTTATCAACATCTTTAGTATCCATTGTCGATTTGATTCTTGCAAAGAAGATTAGTGGAATTAACGAAAGCGACGCTAGTTCTGTCCTATCCTGTTTAACCGGCATGTGAATTTACGTTGTGAAACGTCATAATATCAGTGTTCCTAGCAGTGTCCTATTTAAGATGATTTACCACAACAAAGTAAACAGTCTTTGACAGATAAAACCGAGTGTCACAGACAAAATGATATTTTCGCAATTGTCTTAGACGAAATTAAATCTTGCTTTAAGGTATTCTATCTTCATCTCTCTATTCGTCTCTTGTAAGAGTAAAAATGTACACGTGCATCGACGACTACAGATTTGAGAGCACACTCGGTAACGGAACGTTCGGGTACATACTATTATTATTATTATTCGGAACAAACGTAACTATACGTATACAAATCAAGATTTATACTGCAATTCTAGATAAAATCGTAAAATTTGTAACTTGTTCTCGTAAAACTCGTAAAAACTTATGAGCAGATCTGCAATTTTATGCGGACCGTGTGTCATATGATAATTCGTAAATATCTACGATTTTTTTTGTAAGCTACAACTTTACGATTTTACGATTTACACGTATATTTGCTTAGAATTGCAGTATTAATTTTCTGCTACAATATAAATGTATATTTTTAGAGTCGTATACTTGGTGAGAAGAAAGAAGGACTCAAAACCGTTCGTCATAAAAGAACAAAATCTAGATACGATGAATCATTTGTCCTCTAAGGTATAGAATTGCGCAATACGTTGATTTTCGTTGTCCGGGTACAAGTACATTTTCCATGTACGTTTTGTGGTTCAGATTGTGCTCGAGGAGGTGCAATGTCTGCGCAAGATGCGACATCCAAATATAGTGTCTTATCACGGAGCATGGTTAGCAGGCAATTACAGTTACATACTTATGGAGTACGCAACTCGATGCACACTTAAGGATTTGCTGGAGAAACAAGAGATGCCTCTCAAGGAGAAAGTAACTAACTCCTTTATGCATACAGAGAACTGGATACTTTGGAAAATGAAATACATCGAGAATATCTTTTCACAGGACGCTCTATATCTGTTTTCACAAGTTACCCTAGGAGTACATCATATTCATTTGAAAAAGATCATTCACCGAGACTTGAAACCAGAGAACATCATGCTAACCGGTAGCCGCGGAGATATCGTAAAAATCGGCGACTTCGGTTTCTCAAAGAATTTTCAGGAGTAGGCATCGATATTATAAACTAATTTTTATATATTATAAACCTAAACGATTCTTAAATATCCAATCGAAATTGAAAGAATTAATTTTCCAACTTTTCTCTCTCTATTTCTTTCTCTCTCTTACTTATTCTATTTTTATTTCATCTTCTTTCTTTTCTTTACTAGAGAATACATAACTTGTCGGGCAGGATCTTACTATTATATGGCCCCAGAAATGCTGACTGCACAGCCATACGACTTTAAGTGCGATATATGGAGTATGGGCGTTGTATTGTACGAGATGATTACGAAGAGGCTTCCATTCCCTGCCACCGTAAATAAAATTAATTAATTGTGGAATACGAGTTTTCGATTTATCTTGTGTGCGTTCATAAAAAACGACGTTTCTTGCAAGGTGTAAAAAAACGTTGAAAACGCACGTGTTCTGTAACAATCAAAGTGAATATATTTTTAATGATTATTTTAGAGTCTGGTCGAAATTACGAAGTTAGGATTCGACTATTTGCAGCCTCTACCTGAAAGAACATCGGCGTCAATCGTGAACCTGATATCGAAGATGCTGAGGAAGCAAAGCTCGAATCGACCACGCACTGATCAACTCGTGCTCTGCCCCTTTCTAGTCCCTTATATCGTTCGAGTGTATCTGAATGTCGGGCGAATCATTAATCTCGCCAATCGAGAACCTGTTAATTTTGGACCACACGTTTTCTTAAAATTCCTGAAGCCGTCGAATTGAACGGAACGAAATTGACAAAGTAGACAATTTTAACAATTGAACGAATCGGAATCAAGTATTTCTATTGCGTGAGTCGCACGTTAAATTATTTTAGTAGAATGTTGAAGTAGAAATCTCAAGGCGCTTTTTATTGCATTCGACAATATTGTTGATTTTATAAGAATGATGTCGCATCGAATTGAAGACATATTTTATAACGTATAACGTAAAAACGCGTATAGTATGGAGCCCAAACTCCTTCATCTCAAGCAGTGTATTAACAGTCTAATTCAGTAGGAAATAAAATTAATGATGATCGAGCTTGTGTTACGTTGGCGATTGAAAATCCTATCGTTTCGGAAGCGCAACACGCGGAACCGATTTAGCGCCAATGGAAATGGATAGATTTTATCTCATTATTGCGCGGCATTCTGCATCGATGGAATCTCATTGTTCAACGTGTGTGAGCGCACACGGGAAGCGTAACAACCGGAAACCGAGGCCGGAACCGTACGGAATCGTGCGGATACACTATTTCAATCTGTACCTAATGTCCACGACCCAGGAGAACCGTACAGTTCGCATCTCGTTGGTACAGATATCACGCCGCCGGCCTTGTTATCGTTGTCCACGAACATCTCCACGTGATCGGTATAAAAGAATCGGAAAGTTGAAGACTGTAGTGCAGGAATGTGAGTCCATCATCTGCAAAATCTACCTTAGATTTTAGTGTTGAGTAAAAACGTATTCGCGGCTGAATAATTTCGAACTGTATTTTAACACTTGTTTATTTTATATATATTTGTATATTTTAATACATTTTTACACGTTTAATGCACTTAATTGTTGTTGAACATTAGATTTTGTTCAACATTTTTGATAAAACCTTGCGTTTAAAGTAGATCTTGCGAATTAAACCGATTATCTTACTCTTGCACTCAATCTCTCGGCCTATCGTTTAACATTGCCACAGTCGAATGAATAACGTTAATATTACGTACTATGTTTTGTGTAAGACAGTTTTTTCTTGTATTTTAAGAAGAAAGGATCCCGATATACAAACCACATGTCAAGATCATCATTGACAGATCTCGAGGATCCCGATGAACGACTAGCAGCGAACGACACATGACACACGTACGCGACCAAGTGCAAACCTTGCGAAAAATAGGAGAAGAGAAAGTGGACCCGCGACCGGATATGTGGTGGATTCTGTTGCTGAGTTGCTGGTTGTTCTCTTCGTCGCAGGGCATGACCTGGTACCCGTCGACGACCTTGAATGCAATGCTCGGCGAACAGATAGATCTCGTAGGTGCCGTGAACGCGAGCTACGCGCCCGACTGGAGGAGAAGTTTCGTGAACAACGGAGTTAATGATGCGACGGGCAATGAGGAATCTGCCGATTCAATCGATTCGCGACAACCTCCCGTCAATTCCGTCGATCGCGAACCGTTGGACGAAGTGGAGCGCATCGAGCCCAGGCAGTGGCCAGGTAGGCCGGATATCCTTCCGACCCGCAGCACTGCGCCTTTCACCACGGAAACGTCTCTGTCATCTGGACCTCCATATCCTACCACTCTTGCGCAAAGAAATCCCTCCTCACAAAGGTATTTCGAAAGTAGCAGTTTCATACTTCATCTTCCCAAAATTAATTAGCTAAAACTGTGGTTATATATACAACACGATTACACGCTATTTCGTGTGTTAATATGCGAGATTCCCTACGATTACGGCACCACCGCCGACAGTCACCGTCGATGAAGTCTTTTGCGACTTCGGACCGTCTCCCTCGATGCCGCTCTGCGAGTGGCAAAATGGTAACGCCGCATTGGATTGGATGTCTGGTACCGGGATGGGTACTAACTGGTTGGGTGGGCCGGCAGCTGATGCTACGAGTAGCACTATGGAAGGAGGGTGAGCTTGAATGTCGTGTTTATATATATATATATTTCACTTAATGTTCCAATAGATAAAGGTGATCTTCAACAAAAATAAATGTGGCTAGGTATGCCTTTGTGGAGACGTCGTATGTACCATCAAAGGATCTGAAGTTCAAGAGCTCCGGTGGTCTTCTGCACAGCCCACAGTTAGGCAGCACCGGAGTTTCCGGCACTTGCTTCATGTTCAAGTACACCATGGACGGCCTCAGCATCGCAGGGCTGCGAGTGCTGCTGCACGTCGGCGTGGACGAGTTCTCGTTCAAGAAAGAACAGCCCGGGGAGGAACCCGCAGAAAATGCCACGGTGCCGATACCTTGCGAACCGGTGGAGGTCGCGGAGGAGCGCGTGCTGTGGCACGCACAGTATTATACGCTCGGATTATGGCAACCAGCACAAATACTCTACACGTACCCCAAACTGCACTCGGTATGCCATCGTAATTTGTTTCAGTCATCGAAGATTCGTCTAAGTAAACGATAAGTAATTGTTACACATATCAGGTTGATTCGAAAGTTTTTCCGGATAAACACTAAACAAGTTGAATTGATATTAACGAAGTACTTTTCAAGCAGAAATATGCCGTCAAAATAAAAGTTTGCACTTGGTCGCGTACGTGTGTCATGTGTCGTTCGCTGCTAGTCGTTCATCGGGATCCTCGAGGTCTGTCAATGATGATCTTGACATGTGGTTTGTATGTCGGGATCCTTTCTTCTTAAAATACAAGAAAAAACTGTCTTACACAAAACATAGTAAGTAAAAGATATCCTGTCAAAAGAAAAGTGCCCAGATAACACAAATGTTCAAAATGCGTCTTGGGAATATCATGAAGACGTCTAAATCAAGTAGGATATCTTTCAGATGTCTTTTTCAGATTTCTCTTAGACATTTAAGTTGTATATTCCATAAGATTCCTGTATCAATTTAACGCTTGGGTAAATTAAACAGAAGTCTTGACCATCAGGTGATCATCGAAGGTGTGCCGGTGGACTCCACGGACCCATCGCGTCTGTATCGCGGGTACATCGCCATTGATGACATAGACCTGCAGCCTGGCACGTCGTGCGTTGGATTCTGCAACTTCGCCGGTGGCTTCTGTGACTGGAGTAACGACGCGGAAGATGATTTCGATTGGACCATAGTAAGTGCGCTATTCGAATGACGCCTACGATCGTTTTACGCGGCTCGGATCATGGACATGTACTTGGAGAAACCGTGTTTTCAGAGTCATGGCAGCGACAATCCCACTACTGGCCCGGCAATGGACAGCTCCAGCGATCGCGCCACCGCAGGCGGTTACGCGTACATCGATTCCAGCTTCCCGCGACGACCTGGCGACACGGCGAAGCTGATAAGCTCGAACTTCCCGTCGACCAGCGCAGATGCGCCGATGTGCATGCACTTCTGGTTCCACATGTTCGGATCCGGGATCGGTTACCTCAAGCTCTACCTACGTCACTTTCGCAGCTCGGACAACCAGCTGCAGGAGGTTTGGGGACTATCCGGGAATGCCGGTAACGCTTGGTTCATGTCGCAGGTGACGATCAGCTCGCTCGACGACTTCCAATTAATGTTCGAGGCGTCGGTGGGCAACACCGGCATGGGTGATATCGCCATTGATGATATCTCGTACGGACAAGGTGCCTGTCCCAGTAAGTTCCCGTTGCTTGAACGTTGCTCGAGTTATTCCTGACGATTTCCATTCAATTCTCTCATTCTTTGTTCACATCGACTCGGCAGTCTCGCCGCAAGTAGCCGGCCCGATTCCGCGAGACTGCACCTTCGAAGTTGACGAGTGCGAGTGGATCAACACGCGCGACCCGGACCGCGTCGAGTGGGAGAGAGTGTCCACGCAGGTGTTGGGTCCGAGAAATCAGAGAAAGCCCTACAGCAACGGACACACGGTTAACCGACGCAATGAGTTCTTTCTGGGACTCGCGCGGCTGCGGGGTGGTCCGCGATCGTCCGGAGGCGGCACTGCTCAGCTGGTCAGTCGGGAGATGAAGGGTTCCGAAGAACCGCTATGTGTTACGTTCTGGTACTTTATGTTCGAGCCCTTCATCGACTCCACAGGACCTAGCTTGGGTAAGGAATTCTAAGAAATTGATTTTGTAAAGTTTTTAAACTTTAAAACTAGAAAATTGATCTCTTTTTATTCGTTATTCTAGTTGCACGCAGGATAAATTGATTTCTTTTAAAATGGACATTAATATTTTATAAAAATATGTAAAGTAAATATTATATAAGAATGTTGTTCACGAAATAAGAATAGTGTATTTTTCATCTTTCACAGGCGTCTTGCGATTATACGTACAAACAGTCGGCGACACGTCGACGGAAGCCAAGCCGATATGGCAATTATATAATAACCAAGGTCCTACGTGGAGCTACGCTCAATCTAACATCAACGAGAAGACAGATTTCAACATCGTTTTCGAGGGTACTTGGGGCCCGAATAGAGCGAGTGGTAGCATAGGAATCGACGATATTGCATTTTACACGGGAAACTGTAGTGGTGAGCACATTACGACTTCGTTTATCTTCCAATATTTAAATCTTCGCCTCGTACTTGACTATTATCGATTTTAACGTTAGACATTCCTGCTAAACGTATGATCGATCGATTTTTTCACGCGTATGCATTATCTGGTTGTACGTTTTAATTATATTTAATTTGTATATACTATTGTTATATATGATATAGAACTCTAGAACTATTGTAAAACAAACCGGAACTCTAAAGAAATAGTTAATTTAAATAGTTTTTTTGATTAGGTGCGCTAAGTTCTCGAAGCGCACTTAATCAGTAAAATCAACTATTTCTTTAAAACTATTGTTATATATGATATAGAACTCTAGAACTATTGTAAAACAAACCGGAACTCTAAAGAAATAGTTAATTTAAATAGTTTTTTTGATTAGGTGCGCTAAGTTCTCGAAGCGCACTTAATCAGTAAAATCAACTATTTCTTTAAAACTATTGTTATATATGATATAGAACTCTAGAACTATTGTAAAACAAACCGGAACTCTAAAGAAATAGTTAATTTAAATAGTTTTTTTGATTAGGTGCGCTAAGTTCTCGAAGCGCACTTAATCAGTAAAATCAACTATTTCTTTAAAACTATTGTTATATATGATATAGAACTCTAGAACTATTGTAAAACAAACCGGAACTCTAAAGAAATAGTTAATTTAAATAGTTTTTTTGATTAGGTGCGCTAAGTTCTCGAAGCGCACTTAATCAGTAAAATCAACTATTTCTTTAAAACTATTGTTATATATGATATAGAACTCTAGAACTATTGTAAAACAAACCGGAACTCTAAAGAAATAGTTAATTTAAATAGTTTTTTTGATTAGGTGCGCTAAGTTCTCGAAGCGCACTTAATCAGTAAAATCAACTATTTCTTTAAAACTATTGTTATATATGATATAGAACTCTAGAACTATTGTAAAACAAACCGGAACTCTAAAGAAATAGTTAATTTAAATAGTTTTTTTGATTAGGTGCGCTAAGTTCTCGAAGCGCACTTAATCAGTAAAATCAACTATTTCTTTAAAACTATTGTTATATATGATATAGAACTCTAGAACTATTGTAAAACAAACCGGAACTCTAAAGAAATAGTTAATTTAAATAGTTTTTTTGATTAGGTGCGCTAAGTTCTCGAAGCGCACTTAATCAGTAAAATCAACTATTTCTTTAAAACTATTGTTATATATGATATAGAACTCTAGAACTATTGTAAAACAAACCGGAACTCTAAAGAAATAGTTAATTTAAATAGTTTTTTTGATTAGGTGCGCTAAGTTCTCGAAGCGCACTTAATCAGTAAAATCAACTATTTCTTTAAAACTATTGTTATATATGATATAGAACTCTAGAACTATTGTAAAACAAACCGGAACTCTAAAGAAATAGTTAATTTAAATAGTTTTTTTGATTAGGTGCGCTAAGTTCTCGAAGCGCACTTAATCAGTAAAATCAACTATTTCTTTAAAACTATTGTTATATATGATATAGAACTCTAGAACTATTGTAAAACAAACCGGAACTCTAAAGAAATAGTTAATTTAAATAGTTTTTTTGATTAGGTGCGCTAAGTTCTCGAAGCGCACTTAATCAGTAAAATCAACTATTTCTTTAAAACTATTGTTATATATGATATAGAACTCTAGAACTATTGTAAAACAAACCGGAACTCTAAAGAAATAGTTAATTTAAATAGTTTTTTTGATTAGGTGCGCTAAGTTCTCGAAGCGCACTTAATCAGTAAAATCAACTATTTCTTTAAAACTATTGTTATATATGATATAGAACTCTAGAACTATTGTAAAACAAACCGGAACTCTAAAGAAATAGTTAATTTAAATAGTTTTTTTGATTAGGTGCGCTAAGTTCTCGAAGCGCACTTAATCAGTAAAATCAACTATTTCTTTAAAACTATTGTTATATATGATATAGAACTCTAGAACTATTGTAAAACAAACCGGAACTCTAAAGAAATAGTTAATTTAAATAGTTTTTTTGATTAGGTGCGCTAAGTTCTCGAAGCGCACTTAATCAGTAAAATCAACTATTTCTTTACGACATTTTCACAGTGAAACCACTGAGCGCCGCAGTCCGCGCAGAGGACTGCAGCTTTGAAAAGGGTCTGTGCGGGTGGGAGAACACGACTGTCTCCGATAACGACCGGGCAGTGATGTGGCAACGCGCCTTTCAAACCCACCGACCGGCTCAGCTGTTGGACAGAACGTTCGGCGCGACAGGCGACTTTGTGTTCTTCGATATCTTCACAAACAACAAGCAGTCGACGACGGTACAGCTGCGATCGCCTGTCGTCAGCGCTTCACCCGACGAGGAGTTCGTCTGCTTCACCTTCTGGTTCGCTGCCTTCGGCGTGGAGGAGTCCACTACTCTGCGGGTGATTAAGGCACCTGCTGAAGAAGATGGTAACGAGGAGAGCAACGGCGAGCAAGAGCAGGAGCAAGTGGTATGAGAACATCAAACACAATATTCGATGCATTCCTGAAAATGAGAACTATCCCAATTAGCAATATGCCGGCAAATTGGCAGCGATCAGATGCGATCAGAATACCGTAGCAGATCCATAGCCATCTATGTTCGCATTAAACTTGTGTTCTGTCGGCAGAACTGCTAACATAACTTGATAACTTAATTAACAACAGATTGACGGCAGAAACCGAGCAGAATCTGTAGTATTTTCCATTTAAATGCATTTTAATAGTTACGAAACACATCCTGCTTGATTCCTGCTCGGTCTGTCATCTCATATTGCTAGCTCATATTCCTATTGTATTTCCGTTAGCAAACTGCTGACAAAATTTTTAGCAGGCAGTGCGCAAAATATATTTTTGTAGGTTTGGCTGTCTGGATATGTGATTCGTTTTGCTTTAAACTCTTTACTTCATGTTCTTTGTGCCTTCCTTACAGTTATGGTCACTGACCGCGAAGGGATTGAACAATCCACGACCAGTGTGGATGGCGGCACAAGTGACGATTGAGACGCGCACCTCGTATCGATTGATCCTCGAGGGAAGTGCGAGTAACGGTGGCTTTGCCGTTGACGATATAAAGTTTCAGCCTCTGGCATGTGCAAGTAAGACTGACATAGTCGAAGTCAAAGCAGATGCGAGAAAATAGAAAATAAAAATACGTGTATCTTTTAGTTCGGCCAGGCACCGCCCAACCGGTTGAAAACGAAACATAAGAAAAATACTGGCAGAGATAAGAAGAATACTGATAACGAGATAAAGAAGAAATTCTCCGTTGTATTCTCCGTTGTAGTAATAATATTTTTTTTAAATCGATTAGTAGCTATTATTTATGTGTACAATTATAACAGTAGTGCAAGTAGAACACGCAATAAACCTGGTTCTGCTTAGAATAAATCATGCGATTATTATATAGTTAATCAAACAATTGTATAGCAAAAGTAGGCGCTGCTTTTACAGTAATTTTGATGATATTAATCATGTATTTTATTACGTAATATGAAAATGTATGAACATTTTAGTTACATACATAACGCATACATTTAGCTTCTAATTAACATTTTAAATCCTGTTGCTTTAATAATCAATAAATAAACGTAAAATTAACGTGACAAAATAATGAAGAAATGGTTAAAAAGGAAGGTTGCATGTCACGTTAATTTTACAATTACTTATTGATTGGTAAAATAAGAGGAAAGAACTATTTTTATCGGACTATTTTAAAGGTGTGCTTAATCGATTACTTGGCAGTAATTTTGAACATACATTTTTTCGCTTCTGACGTCACAAATCAACGTCACAAATCATGATGGTCGCGGCGAGAGGCTAGGAGTCTTAATATTCGAAGAATATGGCAGAATAATAGAAATGTCTATTTTTCACTTATATACATTTATTTTCTGTAAAAATAACGATCGTATCAATGATGAAATTAGCAACACGGTCGCGTGAAGTTAGCCCCGTTTAAAACTCGCTCGCTAGGTGCGATTCACAGGCAGCCGCGCTCGTTCGACATGAATCGATCCATCGATAGACGCGCGCGTGTGAACCAATCGTAAGGCGCGACGGATATCGTGCCAGACCGCGTTCCGTTTCACGTTATACGCGCATTTATCTACAGTTCACGTCACGTATACTGTAGGGAATGCGCGCATAATGTGTGAAACGGAACGCAACTCTATGGTCTGTTCTTTTCAGCTGAACTGGTGCAAAGTTAGAGTGAGAAAACATATATTTGTTTCACTTTAACTTATTGCATCAGTTCAGCAGTGCAGCTGAAAAGAACAGATCACTAGTCTCGGCGACCATTTTTGTGAGATCCAGGCAAGTCCAGCTCGCCTCACGGGACGGGACTTCGCGCGACGAACGAGCGTCGATGTAGCTTCCGTTGACTTTGCGCGAGCGACCGAGAACACGAGGAGTGAGCGTTCGCGTTCGTCGATCGCGACTACGTCGAGCGACGTGAGAAACACGCCGATGAAAGTCTGACACTGTCGGTCGGCCAACATGTTGTCGACAATACGCCGCCACGAGATCGCACCGTGCGAGGCACGTTCAGCGGATAACAAGTGATTGACTTGATCGCGCTCGCGCGAAGGAGGAAGAGGAGTGTTCCCGTGGGAGATCCGGGACAGTTCCGCGCAGTTCCGTGCCGGCGAACGTGGTGAAATCGCGCGACAGATACAACATCTGTGCCCCGTCGCCTGTGATTTGCGAAGTCACTCGCATTGCTGCTGCCGCGGCTGCCTCTTACTATGCGGGCGTTTCGCCGACGGGCTCTCACTATCGGCGCGGCCCCGTAACAGTGTATTAATTGATAATTGACGAGGGAAGAAGTTATCGTTTCGCTGCTCTCGGACCGTGCGATCGGGAATAACGGGCGCGACAATGGCTGCGACCTTCGATCAGTACGACAAGTCTAGGTGCGTGTCACATGAAAATACTCGTGTTTTCATTCATCGAGCGATCCGACTTGTCATGTATTTTGTAGCGGGATAATGTCGTTTTGAGATCGCGACTTGTGTCGTGGATGCTTGACTGCCGTCTCGTGTAGATCTTGTGAAATAGTTCATACTTTAGCTGTGTGTATTCTCTTTGAAGCACTGGATAAATCATCTTTTGCCCGTGCGATATGAGTCATAATTTGCTTCAGAGTATCATTTGCAAACAATGTAAAGTAGGAGTAGAAGATCGGCGTAGGTTTTTCTTTGTCATTTTTCTGATATTCTTTGGATGACTTCTGCGTTATTGGAGATTGCTTTTGCAATTATTTATTATAATTAAATATAATTTATACAGTTTTTTATCTCATGTTTTGCTTTTTCGGACAGAGAATCGGTTAAAGCTTAGCTAACTTCAATTTGTATCTGTGACAGCAAACTTTGCTTTATGTGTTTTCCTCTTGTGATTTATTGAGAAAGAAATTAATTTTCTTGGACAGTTTTAATTGCACACATGTCCTTGACAGATTTGCATATTTTTGCATTCTTAAGACACACTGACGTATCTGATTTTCTTTTAGCTGGTACTTCGGTGCTATGTCGCGACAGGATGCTTCTGACTTGTTAATGGGTGAGAAGGAAGGTGGTGTATTTTTGGTGCGGGATAGCACTTCCATACATGGTGACTTTGTGCTGTGTGTAAGGGAAGATAGCAAAGTTAGCCACTATATCATTAACAAGATCCAACAAGGAGACCAAGTTCGGTACCGGATAGGTGATCAGATGTTCCCTGACATTCCTAGCCTTCTGGCCTTTTACAAATTACACTATTTGGATACCACACCACTGATCAGGCCTGCTCTGAAAAAAACGCAAAGGGTAATCGCAAAGTACGACTTTGAAGGCAACGATCCAGATGATCTACCCTTCAGGAAAGGTACGATGAAACTTTTTGAATATTCTTATTTAATAATTTTTTATCTCTTGTATATTTTAGTATATTTTAGTAGATAAAGAGTTAAAATAAGTCAAAGCTTAACTTAAATTGATCCTAACTGTAATATCAAACTATACTTCATGTATTTTTTTCATGTAATTTGTTGATGGGTTGATGGAATTAATTTTTTTTTATAATTTTAATGACTCACTCAGTTATTCCAAGTCATCTCTTAACGCGACGATTGTAACACAGGTGAAATACTCACTGTGGTGTCGAAGGACGAGGAGCAATGGTGGACGGCTAGAAACAGTCTCGGCCAACTTGGCTCGGTACCTGTCCCGTATGTTCAGAAATACGACGAGGACAGCCACATGATAATAGAGAACAATTCACGACCGGAGAGCGGCGGTAGTTCGGGCTCCAACTCAAAGTCGGGGTCGGACACTCAGGTATCGCATCCAGAAGCGACACAGGCGGGCCAGGCGACGACCACGACCGTCACGCGAAGATCGAACATTCAGAGAACGCTACCGGCATTCGCGAAAGTGAAACAGGCGAGGGTGCCGAACGCGTACGACAAGACCGCGTTGAAGTTGGAAGTAGGTGACATAATAAAAGTGACAAAGACTAATATTAACGGTCAGTGGGAGGGCGAGCTGCATGGCAAGGTTGGGCACTTTCCATTCACGCATGTAGAATTCGTAGACAATGAGACCGGCGAGGACAATCAGGAGATTTAACAGAAGTTCTCCAAGTGCGATGCACCGGGCGTGTGACAAAGGGGAGAGAAGAAAGAGGGAGAGAGAGAGAGATAGAGAGACTCCTCCTGTATTATCAATTTAGGTTACTATAATAACACCTATTATATGTACCATCGCGTAGATGTGCTTACATTGAGGTCCGAACAATCACGTTACGTTCGATACTGCCGCCGTCGCTATATACTCTACACGCTGAACAAACCCCAGGATTCTTGTGCAATACGGCGGAACATGGAAGACGCTTAGAGGTTCACATGGTTAGTACTCCCCCCCCCCTCCCGCAGTGTGTTAATGATTTAGTCACGCGTCAATTCACAATGTCTTACGTTACATTTCGCTAATTGCCCAAAGCACGATCATAATTTTTATGAAGTTTTATTAGATATATAGATATGTAAAGTGAAGTTATATATGTTAGTATGATCTTATAATTTTATGGAAAACGGGAAAAAAAATCATGTTTCAGAGATGGAGAAGCAGCAAGCGCAAATGATTTTCTTTTTAACGCAATATTTATATATGCATATATATATATATATATATATATATATATATATATATATATATTCTAGCGGTTTTATAATTTACATTTTTAACAGATCAAGCTGCGCGTGTATTCTCACCTCTTTTCTCTTAGATGTATATTAAAGTAGCGCACTAGTTTAACACTCACGTACACGTAGATCTTTATTGTTTTATCGATGGATTTATTGAACGTTCCGAACTCTAACGGTTGAGCGCACGAAGTTCTCTATTCACGCTCGATTAAGAGCAACCCACCACGGACTTGTTGATTTTATGAAGGATTATATTGTCGACGATAATAAGCGTATAAGTTATATCACGAATTCTCATATTTATGGATATCGCAATGAAGGAAGGCATGCTTCTCTCGTGAGACGTTTTGTTAGTAGGTGTACGTACGGTATGGTACTACGGCTATATTATTCCCGAGATTGGGACAGGTATATTCCGCGCGCTGAATATATAATGTCTTCTAGTCATACAGTGACTATGATGGAAAGCATACTGTGCATTTGTCATTGTTTCGCCGCTGTGTTACTGACGCTTCCGAATATTGAAATGTACGACAAGGAGGAGAGAACGACGAAACAGAGCTAATTTCCGCGCATGCTACGCAGAACGTCTCATGGTACATATAATAGCTGTTAGCCATAGGTTGTGCCACAAATGGAGCAACAATCGTGTGCTAGAAATTTGTATTTATATAGAATGATGGAAAAGTTAATTGTATTTCAAAGAATCGTTCATAGTCGTACAGGACGCTCGTGATCGTCGTCGTCGGGGAACTTTGACTTGGCGGTTAACTCGTGCAAATAAAACTAATTTTCGCTGGAAAACGGATAATCGTTTCCGGTGCGCGTCCGCTGTCAGAATATCCCTCCGATGGCCGACGATACCAGCTTGTATACTGGGGCTATATACAATAAATTCTCGTACAATATATTGTAGTACATACTAAAATACCCCAAATGAGAAAGAAGCAAGCTTGTACCATCTCGATCATATTTACCGTCTCATCGTAATTTCGCGATGCGAATCTCTCCATCGTAAAAAATGATTAATAGTTCAGTCTCACATCACTCGGTTACCTCACTCTAAAATATGTGCATTTGACATTTCCATCATCACGTCATCGTCATCTCAGTCGCATAAGTTCTCCGCAATCTTCCTAAAAAAAAAAAAAAAAAAAAAAAAAAAAAAAA